TTTTATGGGGTTTATCTACAAAACTTGAAGAGGTCGCGGGGTTTTCTGTAATTCCAAAAAGTTATCGCAGATTTAGGGTGATATTGAAAGTTCATGGGGGCTTGCACGAAATAGTGACTGTTCATGAGGGTTTAGTGTAATTTACCCTAAAACAGTCTGCAAAGTTGAGCCAGTGGAGAGGATAAGGAGAGGAGCAGCGGCTAAAACCTCAACTCTCTTCTTCTCCTCTCTCTCTCTCTCTCTCTCTCAAACCTCAAAACCCCAAATCAATGGCGGCCATGACCGCAGTCCTCGCTCCTCCTTCACGCTCCTCATCCTCTCTCTCCTTCTCTAGCCCGCGCTGCAGAGCTCCAGCTTTCTCTTGCTCCTCACACAACTCTCAGCGCCCCAAGAGACAATCTCTTATAAAGCGCCACTCTTCTCAAGAACCCAATAATAATGAGGTGAACCATCTTGGGGAAAATTGAAATTTCCATTTTGTGCATCTTTATTTTTTGGGTTATTTTTTCACCTTGTTTGTTGGGGGTTCTTTTAGATTGAGGCTGTTTCTCAGAAGAGGTTTCCTGGGAGAGGGAAGGATGAGGCTTCTTCGAGCTCGAGCGCGTTGAAATCGTTTGGGGTGCAGAAGAAGGAGAAGGGTTTGGTTTATGAGCAGGTTTGGCTAATGCCCTTTTGTCTGATGATGGTTTGTGTAGCTTGGTATTGAAAAGATTTGGAATTTTGTATTATATTGGGACATTGATGATTGTTTTATATAGTTTTGATGTTTCTTCTGCTCGAAGTTATGATGAAGTAGGGAAGTAACTTAGATGCATCAATGCTGTTTAGTTTGTGGTCTTAAAGAGAAGAAGGCATAGATACTAGTGTTCAGCATAGACTCTCTTGAATTGGAATGCCTCATTTAGGATTTAACACAAAATTTTGAACTCCTGGAGGAAGATGCTTTGAGCGTTGTGCGATATAATTTGCTGTCAAGGGAGGGACAACTGTTTTTCAGGAGATGAACTCTTTGTACTCAAATAGTTTGGTTGAACACTTGATGGTAATTTTGGGGAGAATGTTGAAGCTTATGATCAGAAATTATGGGATTGTGATTTGGTGGAAGAGCTTAGATATACATCTGAGAGGATTCAAATCCTAAAGTTGAACTCAAAATTTCAGCTCTTCCCATTCCGTTAAAAAAGTACTGCAGAAAAATGCTGGAGTTCCAACAATATGTTATCTCATCCTCGAACCCTCCTAATCCTAAGCTAGTTCTGAAATTTCGCAAGAATATACTAAAAACCAAAAATTAGAAATCAAGAAGAAATGCACGGAACACCTACAAGAAAACAATGATTTAGAAGTAGCGATGATTGCGTAGTTGGTTTCCATAGCGCAAATCTCCTCATCCACAGGTTGTCTTTCTCGGTCAAATTGGATTACTTAGGTAGCTCGATGCATAAGTACTTGTGTGAGTGAAAGAGCGGGGAAATCCGGATCATGAATGTGTTATGACTCTGCAACGAGAAAACATTGCAGATGGCAACAAAGATGTGGGTGGGTTAGTTGGTATCGTTGCAAGAACATTGGAGCAGTGATTTGTGGCAATAGTTAGTGCCGGCTTTGATTTGGGCAACAATTGTGTTACTTTTCTCCCCAATAGCCTATAGAAGGCCTCTATTTTTTCACTGAGTTGTTTATTTGTCATTGACTATTTTGGCATAGCAGAGTTGACCAGAAATAGGTAGAATGCTTGGATGAGATTGGATGCTAAATTTATGCAACCTAGGTTTGTTTTATTATGATATCGGTCTGGATATGGGGCTGATTTGAAAGGATAATAAGATAGGGATCAAACACATCTTTCTTACTGTCAGAATTCTAGATAGAGATACAGGAAATTGAGTTTGAGGACAAGAAACAAGAGGAAAGATACTGAAGATCTTATTCTTCGCACAATTTTTAAGGCCTGTAGAGTCCTCGATTTGCCCCATTGACTCTTGTACTGCTAAAGTAGCATCTTTTACATGGTTTACATGTCTCCTGGATTTCTGCCTGTCTGCAAGTGCTTAATTTTTTTCAAATTCCCTAGTGAAATAGTCGAACATAAAAATTAAGTTATTGGTGGTGTTAACTGTTTATGGGTGATTCTAAATTCAGAAATATACACTTAATTTTTTTGGGTGTTCCGATCGTAGTTATGGATTTAAACACATACTGTATTTCTCATTTTTATTATTTATTGAATAACCTCTAAGAAAACAAATATTATTTGTCAGGTCAATGACATGGGAAATCTTCAAGATGCAGCTTTTCTTAATGCTGTTGTTAAGGTATGCACCACCACTGACCCTTTTTGATGTTATGTTGTTCCGGCTCGTGGGGGCTTACATGTTTCCTACTTACTTTTTATTAGTGTGACCTGACAAGTGAACATCGGTTTGATTTTTTGTGATTTTGAGTTTAGACTGCATCGTCCAATCCTTTTGCACCGCACAGTAACTAGGGTTTGATAAAGTGAAAAAAATGTAATAAGAGAAGAAGATATGACAACAGAGAGAGAGGAATATGACTGCAGTAATCTTTCTGGCACTAAGAGTGATTTTGCTACTTATATTGCATGGTATACACTTTACTTCCGTTGCTAATAATAGTTCGACCTGCAAAGGGATGGCTATAATTCCTCTTGCTTCTATATGAGTTTATTTAACTAACTGAAAAACATTACTTTCCTATTTTTCATTGTACTTTTTTATCATTGTATGTGGCTTTTTACTAACAGCAGTCCTTGTTAACAGCAATCATGTTGTTCCCAATTTCTCCAACTCTTAAAGTCAACCCCATTTTCAATGTCTGCTAATTGAAGTTTTTGTTAAGATTTTCACTAGTGATCTTCTGCTGTCATTTATGCAGCACAACAAATCTATAGTGCTTTTCTTATACTTTAGCCATTATACAAGTGTGATATAATAGTTTCTAGGTCAAGCTAAAGTTTGCATGTTTATTGTTCTCTAGGTTTATTGCACCCATACTGCACCTGATTACTCACTTCCTTGGCAAAAACAAAGGCAGTTTACTAGCACCGGAAGGTATGCACTTATTGCGAACACCTGATCTTTTATGGTGAATTTTGTCTCACCTTTTCGTTTGAGCAAGTGGATTCACCTTTACCTTTTGTCTTATTTTTGCTACATGACATGTTTATTAATACTGATTGCAAAAGTATATGCTTTGCAACATGCTTAAATCACAAGTCACCTATATAGGGCTACTAGGCGGTCATTATTTTGTTTTGAGAAACTAGAAAGCTGCATGAAAAAAATAAATTTCTACTTTCTAGAAAATCACAAATCACAATGATTAGAGGTTCTGTTTGCATTGAAGGCCTAGGTTTTATTATTATCCTCTTGCGTATGTTTTCTATTCTTCTTTCTTGTTCTGTGTCTTCTCCATTACATCCGAACAGCAGCCAATGAATTTCTTGCACCCAATTTCCTCTTCCTATAAAGCCTGAAGTCCTTATCATTGTAATGTGGGAGCCCAGAATAACCTTACTTGTGGTAGTCACATGATTTAGAGTCTGGATGGCAGTTTTTTCAAGCCTGAAATAATTGGAATTGGTTACTCTTATGCTTTTGCTGTAATGTGATGCTGAAGTTATAAAGTGAATAAGTATACTTGAAGGGTGCTGATTTTCTTTCCCTTATAAACCTTTTTATCATTTTATCTCACCTGATTGGTAAACTCTGCAGATATTTTCTTGCAGTTTAATAAAAACAAATCAACAATATTTATTAGTTTAGTCTTCCAGTGCTTGAAAGATTTACCCATAAACTCCACAATTTTGAGGATAAACTCATTCCTATCAAGAATAATTTTCTGTCATTAAAGTTGTCAAGTCACTTCTTTCTTTTACAATTATGTTATGTTTCCCCCCAATTTTTCAAATACAATCCTGCACCTGGAATTCCTTGGTTGCAAAAAATACTGTTGCTCTGAAAATTTCTTTGAAATGAATGACGGGAAACTTCATAGCTTATCAGTTGGGTATAACTATGGAAGATGTGGCATTTCCAAATGCCAGGGTAACATTTAATAGAGCAAACTAGATTTTATTGCTGGATGGAAATGGTATTAATCTGCTACTTAGCTTTCATCTAATCATAAGGAAATAATTGCTGATGTCATATATTCTGCAGTGCTTTTATGATTGGCGATGGAAAACTTTTGACAAATGCTCATTGTGTTGAACATCATACCCAGGTATTGGTCATCGTGGTTTTTAACCTAATCTCTAGTACTGACAGTTGTTGTTTTCTGTTTTACTTGCTGCTTTATACAGAAATGGTCACTTGTTTTCTAAAAGAAGATTCGTGAGAAGACATGTTGGTTTAATTAACGTGGCTAAATTTTTAGTATATCCATCTGAATATAGCATGGGTTTTAATTCACATCCACGTCTAGATATAATGCTCAAAAGGTTCTTGTGTACTTTCTGAACGCTAAACAGTTGAGACTAGACAGTGACGTCAGACGTGTCACTTTCTCAGATGCTATTTAGCTCATTTTAAACTTTCTAACAAGGAACGAACGAGGAAATTCTTTTTGGGGAGACTGTCTGCAAAGTGGTTCTACCTTAAATTTTCTGAGGAGAAATAATAAATTGTATACTAATTGCGCTAAAAATTGAATAGTCGGAAGTTAGTGAAATAATATAATCTCCACGAGAATAATAAAGTAAATAAAAAGAGAATAACGAGTTATAAGATAATTAGTGATACTTATCAAGATGACTGAGGGTAGAAAATATATACAATCTGCTAAAACTTTCGATTCTTTCAAGCTATATAGTCGCTGAAGACCAATTTGGGAATGTCATTCTACGATAAGCATAGTATTTGGATGGGAGCTATTATTGCTTGCGCTTGCATAAGAGTGTAGTACCAAGATAGAAATTGTCTGCTGGAATGTCCTTATATTTTCTCATGACATTTAGTGTGATGTATTTAAACTTGGTTCTAAGGCTATACTGTTCAAAGATAATACTGTTCAAAGAACAATGCAACTTCTTTGGGAGACACATCTTAATCCATTTTCCTTAGCATTTAACTTCAAGGAATTTGTCGATTGTTCATTTGTTTGTTGGTTGCATGAGTTTGACCTGTGTAACAGTGAACTTCCCCTAGTAATTTCCCTTGCATCCCCAACTTACTTACATTGGCTGGGATAGGGGAATTTGGTCACTTATTTCAGTTTGATAATCCCATTGTGAAAATTTGGTCATTTACTCTTTTGTACTCCTTGAGCTTTTATTTCCTAGTTTATTGTATTCTCTGAATTATATTAGCATTTTGATTAAGTTGGTCCGATGGCTTCAGGTTAAAGTCAAGAGACGGGGTGACGACACCAAATTTGTTGCTAAGGTATTTTTCTTTTAATATTTGCTAGAAATCTTTTAAAGACTTTGATGCTATCATTGGCACTAGCTCTGTATGTATTTTGGACTTGATTGATTTCTCTTGCTTAAAAGAATGCCTCAGTAACCTGATTCACAGGTTTTAGCTAGAGGTGTAGAATGCGATATAGCATTACTCTCGGTTGAGAGTGAGGAATTCTGGAGAGGAGCTGAACCACTTCGCTTTGGGAGGCTTCCATCCCTTCAGGTAAACTTCGAATTTGCTGAACTTTTTAGTATTTATTACTTTTAAATAATATTTTGTTTGCTGACTTTATTGTTGATACGGTTAGATTATAAGATAGAAAAGTGGGAACATTAGAATCTAAAGGAAACAGGGCAGGATGTATGGTATGCAACTTTAAGAAATAGAAAGGGAAGAAAAATGGGTGTATTGTATGTTGATGATCAGAAAATATCTTAACAGGGTCTTTTCAGTAGTTAAGATCTCAGTGTCATCCTGACGTGAGATAAAGAGGATGTTGCATGTGCAATTAGAGCTAGGTAGAGGTGCTATTAGCTGTAGAATAGACATGAAACTGAAGGGACACTTGAAATGATCGCTTCAGAAAAGCTATGCTTCAGGGGTTCAAATAATGGGGGAAAACATGATATATGAACAAAGATTGTAGCTGAAGTGAAGAGGTTAAGATGGATGCTGTTACTGTTTAAGATTCAATAAATTACTGGAACCCATGAAAATGTTGCTGTCATAAATGAGGTAAAATTCTTCTTTTCCTCCTATTTTGGCCTTTTATAAGGATTTGGAATTTAAAATAGTCGATAGTATGTTGTTGAGTACTGAAAACATTGTATGCAGGGTTCTGAAACTAGTGGTTGCATTGCACCTAGGAATATCACTACTAGCTAGTGGAAGTCTGTAGTCTTGTCTCAAAGCTTTTGACATGTACACAAATGCATAAAATAGCAGTATTGATCAGTGAAAAGGTTTGCAACCTGTTATGGTTTCTTTAATTAAGTTCATTATCTAAGTAGCTATGTATGGAAATATTTTGCAGGTGACACCTAGAATATGAGGCCAAAAATTGTAGAAATAGCAGAAGTGATATGCTGGATGCTAAAAAAAATGGAAATATCTTATATGCCAGCTTCTGAAAGAATTTAAACTAACAGGGACGCAAGTTATCAACTGTACCTCTTCCTAAATATTATATGCATGTTGCTTAAGAACTCTGGTAACCAATGAGCAAACGTCATTTGTCGCTTCTCTCATTTTAATTCGTTCTTGAATATCGTCCAATAGATGATGCTTGAATATAGGTATTTTGCAATGTATATCCACAATTATTGGTTCATGCAAGTTAAGTGGCACCCCACCCTCAATGATTAGGCTTCTTATAATATATTTTTCTTCAATGCTTTGAAACTGTTGTTGTGATTGACAGGATGCAGTAACTGTAGTTGGCTACCCGCTTGGCGGAGATACTATATCTGTTACCAAGGGTGTTGTATCACGTATTGAGGTTTGGTCTTTAATCATTAGAGTTTCTATCCTTTATTTTTTTAGTAGTCATTTTGTATTGTTCAGTTACCTATTTTTAATTAGTATCATATTGAATATTATGCTGTGTGTTGGAGAGGATGATTTTACTTTGTAATGAGTAATTATTGACACTACAGTTCTGTGTACAAATTTGATTTGTGTTATCTCAACTGGTTACATAAATATATTTGTCGTCAGAGTCTACGAGTACTAAATATCGCTAGTTCGAATGAAACAGCAGAATTTTGTTTGCTGTTTTCTTCTTAGCAACTTCTCTTTGATGTGTTTTAGCATCTAGTTCCCCTGACTCCCATTCTTGCTGCCAGCCTCTGAGCTATGATTCTCTAATTGTATTTGGTTAAGTCAATTATATTTCACCAACCTTAAAGCTATCCACCCTCAGAAATGTGTTTAGTTTGAAAGACCATCATATTACCTCCACACAAGGAACCATTACAGCAAAAGATGTTAAGCGGAGCTAGGTCGGCGACCAATTGTAGTGCCTAGACTTGCCCTCTTTTTTAAGGGGAAAAAATCCAAAAAAAAAAAAATCAAGTGAATTAGAGGAATGGGGAGAGAGGTGAAAAGAAAAGTAAAACATGGTATATTTCATGCGAACTGCTCTTTATAAGAACTCTCATATATTCTGAACCTGCTGATTTACCTTTTCCTCGTCTTGTATAGTTTACTGCATATTGGAATAGTCTTTTCTCAGATAAGTCTCACTTATCAGTTTTAAATGGTGTCTTGTTTCGTTGGTGCAATACACTTCCATTTCCTGTTAACATATTCTCTTCTTAGGTTTCAACACATTTTCATTGCTGTGCACCATATGCTCTTCTTAATTGGCAGATGTGGCTGTCTCTGATAAAAGAAATAACGTTTCTAGCTATTGGTCCTCTCAAATTTTCAATCCATTCTGAAATAAATTTCTCGAGCCTCAGTACTCGTACGCATTAGAAGTTTGATTTCAGTGATCAAAACTGAGTCCTCCAGTTTATGTTTCTCCGTCAAGCTTACACTATGCCAATAAAAAGTAATTATGAGCATTCACATCAAAATTTAACTAGTATACTCGCGAGTACATTCAATTTAGATCATGTTTGGCAAATGGTCAAAGTGTTTTATAAGCCACTTTAAGATGTTTGGCAAGTGGCTTAAAAGCCACAATGGCTTATAAGCCACTTTGAGATGCTTGGCAAGTGACTTATTTCTACTTATAAATTATAATCCATCAAAAGTAAGCTAGAGTTACCTTGATTTATTTTTTAAAGACAATTATACCCCTTATGATTTCACAAAATCCCAGGTCTCATTTGATAACTCACAAGCAAACTCACGTCCTTTTTGTTCATTTTGATAGTAATTGATCGATTATAATCCACCCATTTGCCAAACACTCTAAAATTGGATTATGATCCATTAAATTTACGAAACGCTCTAGATTATAGTCCATTTGTGGATTATAATCCACAAATGGATTATAGTCCACTTGTGGATTATAATCCACAAATGGATTATAATCCAAAGTTTCCTAACATGCTCTTAGTCAAATTGCAGTGACGTCTATATTTTTGCTATTTCTATTCTAATCAAGTTGGCACCATAATTAGAGGAACTAGTTTGTGGTAGTCCCAAGTCAAGGGCAAGTTTTACTCTCCCTAGACTGTCTGAGATCCGTACAACCTACAGTATTCTTTTGAGGTGCAAGATATAATAATTTAGATCTTGCTGTTATAAGTACTAAAACAATTTAATCAAATATTCTAAAGAGAGGAAAAGTTCACTTTTTAGTTTTTAATAAAATTTCTCTTGTGACAAATCCCTCTTCTCTTGAATGACACATGCATCTCAGCACCGCAATGAATATTTCAGGTCACTTCGTATGCTCATGGGGCATCTGATCTCCTTGGCATTCAAATTGATGCAGCTATAAATCCTGGTTAGTTCATTTTTAAAACTATAATTTCCAGTTCATCAAAACCGTTTAAAGGGAAAGTGCTGTCTCCCATAAGCTTCTTATTTTTTTCTCTTTATTTTAGTGCAAGAAGTATGTCACTTGTTGCAGGAAACAGCGGGGGTCCTGCATTCAATGACCAAGGAGAGTGTATTGGAGTAGCATTTCAGGTATATTTTCTTTTGAAATTGCATGCGTTCATCTCAGCAGGACATTTAGTATCTGCTTTCAAGTTATTTGGTTTTTAAAATGTTCTTATCTTATTGACAACCCACATAGTACTCCCTTGAAAAATGAATAATTGACGAATTCGTAAGTATATTCCATCATGTCTATTCTTACCGATAGCATCACATTGTGCTGGAGTTGTTTTACACAAAAAGATGCCGATGCTTGTGAATGATGAATCCCAATTCCGGTCATTTCAGATGCTTCTAGGATACTTCTGTGTAGAAAGCTCTTGTAAATTTAAGTTGACTGAGAGCTCTGTCCACCAACATTTTATCCCTGGATTTGCTTTGAGATGTGCTCTGATGTGTGATACGCATCAAGCCATGCTCAAAGACAACCTTGCTGTATATGGTACATCAACACGCAGCTCAGAGCAAATCCAAGAGAAGAAAGAGTTGGGGACAGAGCCCTCAGTCCACGAAAGTCTACAGTAGCTAAATGCTACTTCTTTTATACATATTGTACCTAGTGAGCTATGTTTTGTTTTATATTTCATGTTAAAGACTATAAGTGTAATAAAAAAGGCTATCATTCATATTATGAAATATAACTGATTTATCCTTTGTTCAGTATGTAAGTCAGAAATGTCAATTTTCCTTTCATTAGCATATGTAATATGTACTATATCTTCTTATTGGGCTGCCAATGGGCTTAGGTGGGATTCCTAGCTAAAGTTGAGCCTCCTGATAATCAGCCTCTCCTACGATGGCCTGAGATTATATCTAGTTATTAACTGAGGCCTTGGTTGACTTGAAAACCTGCATGAAATATTTAGAATGCAATATATTAACTGAGATTTATATTTCATGTTGAAGACTATAAGTGTAATAAAAAAGGCTATCATTCATATTATGAAATATAACTGATTTATCTTTTGTTCAGTATGTAAGTCAGAAATGTCAATTTTCCTTTCATTAGCATATGTAATATGTACTATATCTTCTTATTGGGCTGCCAATGGGCTTAGGTGGGATTCCTAGCTAAAGTTGAGCCTCCTGATAATCAGCCTCTCCTACGATGGCCTGAGATTATATCTAGTTATTAACTGAGGCCTTGGTTGACTTGAAAACCTGCATGAAATATTTAGAATGCAATATATTAGAACTTCCACATTTAACAATCCACTCCTGATTCCCTACTTATAAAGGGCTACAGAAGAGTTAAATATCAAACAGAGAATAGCAGTATTGATTGTATATTATTGATTTCTGAAAATGAAACTCTTTTACTCACTCTGTATTCTCCTTTGGCATTGGTTTTCATTCTAAATATTTTTCATTTTCTTCTTTATGGAAGGATGCATCTAACCTCACCAGTCTCTCAGAATTTATTGAATTTCATATAGTTGCACTTATTTTCTACCTTCACACTCCCCCGGATGACATGCAACGTAATTACTACATTTTTTTCTCAAAAGAAACCATTTGCTCTATTCTCCTTCCAGGGAATAATTATTAACTTGTCAGTCACATGATTTTACATTGTTATGTCATGTTTTATTTCTCACTAGGTATTTCGTTTAGGTGTACAGGTCTGAAGATGCTGAAAATATTGGATATGTGATTCCCACTACTGTTGTATCCCATTTCTTGAATGACTATGAAAAAAATGGGAAATATACGGGTAAGCAGTCTTTTCTTATTTTCATGGTGATATATCAAACTTAATTGAAGGTGAACTTGAGTCATGTATTAATCTTAATAGCATAGATAATATGGTAAATAGTACTGAACTATCATTCTGCCAAATAATATATCCAAATTTCCTATTCAAACACGTGAAAAATTAAGTAGCTATCTTTCTCATTTGCAGTTAAATGCAAAAGCAGTTTTTGTTTTTGACTACTGAGTTCAATCATAGCTCCTAGTTATGTCTATTATGGTTTCACTTGTAAGACGTTCATCCAAATTTCACTTACTTGCATGCTGTTACTTCTCTAGTGCATGTTTTATCAGAATGACTTGATTGTATTGTCTTAAGGAAATTTTAACATGTTACTTATCAAACTTTATTTGTATGAGAACTGAGCGTGTGTCGTCTTTAGTTAGAACTATGATCATGTTTTGACCGTGGAGGTTTATCACAGCAATAGCTACTGTAAAATAGGAACATCCACCTTAATTTTTTTTTCTTTTTCTGATTTCCCCCCAAAAAATTGAGAATGAATCAAAATATAAGCATGTTCATTAGCACGATATATGAAACTTAACACATGACGATGTTAGTGTAAAATGACGAGCAATATCAAAAGTACATATCTACAAGTGCTACTAAACATTGTTAGCTTGATTGCTGGAATCATCCTCAGCCTCTATGTGCCTTATGTTCATACTCTGAAATGTAGGATTTCCTAGCCTTGGCGTTTTACTTCAAAAATTAGAGAATCCAGCGTTGCGTACATGCTTAAAAGTGCCATCTAATGAGGTATGTGTATAGCTTTCACACTTTTTTTTCCTTGTCAATTATGAAAAGTCTTATACTTCAGCAGGCTGTCAAATTCCATGCTCCCTTAGTTAAGTTTGTCCCTTCTTATTCTTTTTCACCCCAAGCATAAGTTGGCTGCATGTGACTTCAGCCATGCAAATTATGCTTCTTTTCTTTTTGATTGTTTGAAGCTGATTGAATTATCAAAGCTGATTTTACAATTCCCTTTTTGATTGTTTTGAAGGGTGTGTTAGTCAGGAGAATTGAACCCACTTCTGCAGCTTATAATGTTCTAAAAGAGGTATGTCAAGAACGATGCATCTTATTTTTCCTTCTTCCAGCGGAATCTCATATTCCTGTATTTTTTTCTCCTGAAACTTTATGTTTTGCAAAATTTCGATCATTGGTTGTCTGCAGTGCATTCTGATTAAGACTAGGTCGTTTTTGTCATTGAGTTAATTAGCCTAAAAAATCAGTCCAGATCTCAGATACTGTTCTTGTTTTTGGATCCATGTCAACTGATTTGCAGAGGAAAATTTCAAACGAAGTTGGATCTTTAGATGGAGATAAGTTATATAGCAGACTCAACAACTATATTACACATAGATACACCCAACATTCAATGAGAAGTCCACAGTAAAAAATTGTGAGAACTCAAATATATGACATCACATGAATGATTGACGTTGTTCATCTTCTTCAACACATCTAAGCTAGTCTGAAAATGCAAAATCAACTATGAAAACTTTCTTCATTTCATAACTTGGTTACCCAAAAAAAATGTTGTCCACTAAGATTCCATTTGATGCATGAACAGTAAATTTCGGAACTTTTGACCTCTCATGCTTAGACTATTTTCGATATTTGTATTAAGCTGATTGCAAAAGATGCTTCATCAGAAGTCGTTGAAACGCAATTTCGACAAGTAATTTGAAGCAGCAGATCTCCCTATTTACATACCTACATATGTAGGTAAGTATGTATACGTTCATATTTTACACGCACGTGTATGTATACGTTCATATTTTACACACACACGTGCGTGCATGCATGTCTACATGCAGAGATACACGCACGCGTGCGCGCATATAGTGCATGTGTAATGCACTGGTGCTTTGTTTATGTTTCTGTTCCTTTTAAGTCCCTTTTTTATATGATTCACACATTCCTTTTTTTGGAATTGTCATGAGAACTGCAATATAGTTTACTGCCAAAAGTTTTATATCTTCATTAAATATATTGAATTTTCAACAACAAATAAATACTATGCAAATATGTTTGATAACTCTTTAAATGTTCTGTGTTCCCAGGGGGATGTTATTGTAAACTTCGATGGCGTTCCCGTAGGGAGTGAAGGAACAGTTCCATTCCGCTTGACAGAGCGTATTGCTTTTCGCTACCTTATAAGCCAAAAGTAAATTCTAATCCTAATTATCTGTATTATTATAGTACATTACTGAAGATAGTGAACAAAAAGTTTAATGAATGATTAGATAACAATTCCTGTCCAAATATAGATAATTCATGTTTATTCCTGCATTTAACACTTGATGATTATATCAAGAGACTGTAGTATGAAACTAATTACATGTTGAGAAATTAAAATGTAAAAAAATAAAAAATAAAAAAAGCTTGGATATTATGCTTGTATGCAGTTTATTAAATAAAATGCATGATGCTATTTACCTTTTTCTTATTGTTTAATATCAAAATTGTTTCAGGTTATCTCACAAACTCAAGTAAATTATTTTCTTCTTGAATTTAAGGTTTGCTGGCGATGTTGCAGAAGTTGGTATAATCCGAAATGGGGCACCTATGACAGTTAAGACTGTTCTGCAGCCTCGTGTGCATTTAGTAAGTAATCAGAGGCTTGGTTCGGTATCTTGAAAGCATTGAATTTGAATTTTTTCCTTAATTTTTCTAATTTAATCATAAATTTTTTGGGTGAATTGATGTGATCTGTTCTTGCATTTTTGACACTTCGGCACTTTATTTTTTTCTTTGCCAAGGTTCCATATCACATTGAAGGGGGGCAACCTTCATACTTTATTATTGCAGGTCTTGTGTTCACACCACTTTCAGAACCCTTAATTGAGTAAGTTAGTTGGAGTTGCTAGTACCGTTACTTGTAACCTTATAGAGGGCAGAGCTTAGTAATTATGCGAACAATAACTAATCGGTGTATCCATTTTAATGATGCAGAGAGGAGTGTGAAGATGCAATTGGGGTAAGTGAGAATGTTAATTTGCTATATCACCCTAGGAGTTAATTCTTTTCAATTTTCTAAGCCTCAGTTTTGTTTCTCTTCATTTTTTATCCAAAATGACTGAAGGTGTTTCTGGTTCTTAATTGTCAGCTAAAATTATTGGCGAAGGCACGTTATTCTCTGGCACGGTTTAAAGGGGAAGAAATTGTGATTTTATCACAGGTTTGTTCTCCGTTACAGCAAATGCCCTTTCCTCATTTCATTATAACATAAAGCGAGTTCCATGTTTATGGTGGCAAGGGTTTCATGTAAATTGCATTTTGTGCTGTACACTAGAAATTATTTCAACAACCAATTATTTGTTAAAAGTATCATGCCGTTGACTTACATACTGCATATTTCCGTCACCTCTTCCTTTTGACAGTAGATTTTAGAAATTATCTTATTTCCTGTTATTTTGTTAGGTATTAGCGAATGAAGTGAACATTGGCTACGAGGATATGGGCAACCAACAAGTAATCAACGCTTCCTTAATGCTGCCTTCATTTAAATGCTATTTATATTGCAAATTTCTATCATTTTCTGATTATATTGGCATATACAGGTTCTCAAGCTAAATGGAACTCAAATAAAAAATATCAGACACCTCGCTCACCTTGTTGACTGTGAGTAGTTGTGCCTATTGTATATTATGCATGTTCCATGTAAATGGCTATCGCCTAATTTCTTCAACATTTTTGTGTAGCATGCAAGGACAAATACTTGGTGTTCGAATTTGAGGACAATTTTCTTGCTGTTTTAGAACGAGATGCAGCTTCCACTGCCTCGCCTTGTATTCTAAAGGATTATGGAATTCCATGTGAAAGATCTTCAGACTTACTGGAGCCATATGTAGATTCTGAAGATAACCAAGTAATGAACAAGGAGGAAATTGGAGACAGCCCTGTTACAAACTTGGAAATTGGCTTTGATGGATTGCTGTGGGCGTGATAAAATCATCGTGCAAATTTCTCTTAATTAGAAGTCGCTTCTCTTAATATTTTCACTGAGGAAGTTGCCATGAGGATATGATGAGCATATTATTGGAATAGGCGAAGCCAGGCACTTGCAGAGTTTCAATGAAACGGTTCGGTGGGCATTTTTTTTTTCACGCGAAATGTCACTTATTTATTGTACCATGTGCTCGTGCAACAAATTTTGTAAGCTTCCATTTATAATAAAATCATTAATTTTTTCCCTCCTCTCACAATGAGGGATTTCATTTGCTGAAGGAGTTGCTGTAATTAGGGTAAAAATACATTGTCCGTCTCTGAATTTCTGGGTTTTGCATGTCTTTTTTTGTTATTATCTGGCACTGCGCTCTACCGAAAGTGTTATGCATCAAACTCTCAAGACTTCCTTTAAGAGACCTTTTAACGTTGAGGTCTAAACACCATCAGAAACTCTCTATCGAAAACAAAATCCATCGCTGTATATAATAGCAGTGCTTGTGTCGAAGTAGAATTACGGTCTGGTCACTATATCAACATATTGAAGTGATACAATAAACAACTTTCAGAATATGTAGTAGTCTACTAATGATCAAAGTTCTTTTATTCAGCGTAACAAGACAATAGCACTGGTAAACATGCATCTCCCATACATAACCCATCATCATTCTCAATTCATCAGCTTTTTCTCAACTCCTAAGAGTCTTAACACGCAAGTTCTAACGACAGTGCTTATGCCTGAAGACCGATGATGCCTGCAAATAGTTCAGAAAGCAGAGATCACTATGATTCGATCGTCCGTGTAATGCTAACCAAAAGAATCCGCAAGGAATACTGATTATATTGTAGATGGAGATGACACGATGAGACAAGAATATGCAAGAGATAACTCACCACAGGCAACTCTTCCACCAGCATTTCCGGTGCTTTTGCTAAGCTCATGCCCACCTAAAAACCAAACAAGCGGTTTAAATCTTTGCGTTGCTATGTTAACCATAAGAAAGATGGACATCTTACAAGCATCAACCGATGAGATGAGACATACCAAAAGAATAGATTGGTGAGCCATAAATCACTTCAACTTCCAAAATTTTACCGTTGCAATTCAGTTTTTTTCTTTCTTTTTCTTAGGGTGCTAGATAAAATACCCAGAGTGGAATGTTCAAACTGCGTAACATTTAGCTAGTGCCAGCACGATATAGCAGTGAATAGTCAAGTTTTATCAGTTATATTTCTTTAGGAGCAACCATCCATAAAATAAGACCAGAAGTAAGCAATTCCAATACAAAATGGTTAATACTTACATCATGTTTGAGCATAAGAAGGTTATTCATTATTAGTTTCTAAATTACTGGCAAACTTTTACAGGCAATTATGTTACGTAAACAAAAACAGACCGTTAACTGAACCAACTTGCTCAGAAACAAAAATATCTGAACATACATAAGATTTGTGTTTATTTGAAATATATTTGAGTTCATATATGCATTGACAATAGATAAAAACAATATTGTCCAACAGTTAACTGAATCTACTACTCAGAAAGCAAGAACAGATTCTTTTAGTAAAGAAGAAAGACAATAATACAGATGAAAAGATTACCCTTTCCAAGATCATCGGGATCAGCATGGACAACAACAGCCCTTCCTATAATGGAATTTGGCCCAGTGAGTGGAATCTGTACACAGAGAACATACTCAGGATTTTGAACTCAAAATTGAACAGGTATATAGAAATTCTTTCATTTTTGAGGAAGGGAAAAAATAAAACAAGTCATAAGAACAATTATTTACCTGGCTGTCAACAATACTGAAGCTAGCAGTCCCTGCAACATTATAGAAAAATATGCAGCAGAGAAGTTAAATGATATAAATTTCTAAGACACATCCTAACATAGCATGCAAACTACTGAGATGTATTCTAAACTATGAAAATGTCATAGTTGCTAAATTATTTTGTAACGATAATTCCATACCATCCTCAGTAGCAGTCACATTTCCAAGGTCACCAGCATGGCGGTTCTCATCATTAGGCGCTCCATGTTCCTTCCCAGCAGGATTGAAATGAGGTCCTACATTACAGTGGATATTGTTGATAACCAACAACACAATTATTTCCATTAAACTTGTTAAAGGTCCTTGCCACAGTAGCAAAACTTACATGCCCCCATAAGTTGAGCGCTCTTTTTATGCGCTGGAACTTGAATTCATGTAGTAGTATCTCTTTTTCTTAAAGGGTCATTTGCACTTTAATACCCCAAAGTTTCACTCTTTATAACTTTGATATTCTGAAGTCTTATTTTGACAACTTGATGGCCCAAAGTGTTCAGATTGAAGTTTAACTTGAAAATTTAATACCCCAAAACCTTGACTTTGCTCCTCACTTTGCTCCTAACTCAAAGAGAAGAAATTTGGTAAGGAAATTTGTTTCGCATTCAGTTTTCTACATCGATATTCTTGAACAAAATTAACGTCATTTTATTTGCACCTTAGGGTATCAAATTCTCAAAATATAACTTCACCGTATCAAAGTTAGAAAAGCAGGAAACTTTAGGATATTAAAGTACAAATAAGCCATTTTTAAAGTCTGCTTTAAACGCGTGAATAGTGGAATCAAGATCTAGTTTATACTAATACCTTGTTAAAAGTCCCTTCTGCTGCACCAAAAATTCAAAGTTTTGGTGGAGTGGCAGGGATCTTTAATAGAACTCTTCGTCTTAATTACATGTAGTATATGAATATGAACATAGAACAAGTTACCAGTGGACATGCAACCATTCGTGGTGTCACCAAGGGCATGAACATGGAAACCATGAAGCCCGGGTTTGAGACCAGAAACACTCCCTGTTACTGTAGTTGGACCTGAATCATTGAATAAAATCACATTTGTAATCATCGCGTGAAGGGATTTCATCAGTTAATTCGACATAGAAAAGAATTTACTCAAGGTAGTAAACTTACCATCTCCCTCTTGGGTGAAGAAAACTTGTCCCTTCACGATCTCGCCAGCAATTACAGCAACGGCCTTCACCATCCTTGACGTGTTCTGTACTTTTTAGCATCCAAACCAAAAATATTTACAAAGATATTTACTAAGATATTTACTACAGGAAAGACAGCCAATACATTTTGTTACCCAATCCTATAAATGTAGCCTAAACTTGTGAAAATATAACATTTTGGTGATCAATCAAAAAGAAATACTAGCAAAGCTTTTTTGATCCAAGATAATTATCAGTGAAAGAACATATAACATGCTTCTAGAGCTAAGAAATCAAAGGACAAAGAACACAAATAATTTACTCATCTGAACTGAGTAATTAGTTAAGAATCAAACTATAAACAACACAATGAATACATCTAATTAGAAAGAAAAAAGGTATAATTATGATTACTAGGAAAAAACTTTTTTTTTACAACAATTAAAAAAAACCATCCATAAAATCATCAAACCCACAAATAACATGATAAACTCATTCTGAGAATAAACAACATAAGTTATAGATCACCGACCAATAAGAATTTTACCCAATTCACAATAATAATAATAATAAAACCCACTAAAAGACAAATATTTGCTTCACAAATCAAATTTACATACAGCTCACTCTAATATATCAATTTTTTTTTTTAAATAATAACCTTGCTAATAAACGATTCAGTGACACAAAAAAAAAAAAATCTTTAAGCCTACAAAGAGGATTTGGGTCCTCACATCATTATGATCGACAAACTCTAGAGTTCAATAATTTGATCGAATCTACAAGATCAGATCTTTATACCAATTAGATGAAGTTTTTGAGGATTAAACCCTAAAGAATTCATCTTGGATCAGGATTCGTACCTCAGGCCACCCCTCTTTAGAGAGAAAGAGAGTTTGCTAAGTTTTTTAGGGCGATATGCGCAAGAGAATTGGGAGGAGGCCAGTCAACGCTCGACTGTGAAATATAGAGAGAGCGCAGTGTTCGGCAGGGGTACGGTCACCGCCAGGTGAGACTAGTTTGGGTCAAACAATACATTGCACCTACTCAACTTCTTCGGATTATGTGTTCAGTCGATACTAGTGTAGCGATCCTGTGCACGAGAGCGTACCTATTTTATTATATGTTTTTAAATTTTTTATACTGATTGTAAAATAATCTCCAATGATTTGTATCACAATATAAGTTTTGAATAGTTATAATTTTATTTAAATAAATAAATTGTATGATATAAGTGTATATAAAGAACTGTATAATTATTATAGTTTGGATAATCATTATGATTTATTCATAATTTATTACAATAATTATAATATATTAAATAGTTTCTTCTCTTCCAATAGGCTAAAATACCAGATTGACATTTTAAACGGATCCTAAATGACAATAGAGTATTTTAAATAGCTCTGGCAATAATAAGACCTTATAATTATTCAAAAGAAACAACAATACCTATAATTTTCATCGAAAATTAATTTTCCAGCCAAGTTCCCTCACATGCTTGCTGTGTGATCATTGTGGGCTGAGTCGGACAATAAGGAATGTCGTGTCATAAGAGTTGGAGGGAGAAAAAACTACGCCTAAAGTCTCATTGCACCCAAATTAGCCAAATTCACCCTTTTCCCAAAACTTGAACGAGAGAGGGAGAGGAGAGCTTTTGTAAAAATCTCTCTGATCTTGAATGTGACTTGAGAGAATGAAGAATCTTTGGTGAGGACGACGACTGGAGTATAGCGTCGTCGTCCAGGAGTACGGGTGAGACTCCTCTCAAACATTTCAGAGATTTCTTGTGGGTTTGGTTTTTTTTAGGGAAGGATGATTTGTATGGAGTTTGTCCTCAATTAATTGAATGATAAACCCTAATTTAGGTGTTGATTTATGGAACTTTACAAACTAGGGGCAAGTCCCGCCACATCAGCAAGAGAATAAATGATTTTACAAATCACGTGCCAACACGTGAAGGAAATTGACTGAAAAATTGATTTTCAATGAAAATTATGGGCATTGTCATTTCTTTTGAATAATTATAAGATCTTATTGTAACCGGAGCTATTCAAATTACTCTATTATCATTTAGGGTCCATTTAAAATGTAAATCTAGTACCTTAGCCCTTTTAAATATAATAATATTATACATGGCATAATTATAATACTATTAGTAACTACATTTTAATTTAATAATTAATTTATTACACTACTAGTAAATACTTTACTATATTGTATAATTATTAAATTACAGCAATTTATTAATTTAAAAATACTATTAAAATTATTATACTATGAATACTATTACAATTATAATAAATACAAATTATTTTTCATACTATTACCATACATTTAAAAGGCTAATAAGATGCAAGTTAATAGGTAGCCCTCCATAAGAGGTGAAACCCAAAAGTGTAAGACAAAAGCCTAATGAATTTTTATTATTTTTAATTTTTCTTGAATTCTAAATATGATGTGAAGACTAGTTAGGGATAAATTTCTCACTTTTTATTAAATATCATAATTAAATAATAAAATAATATCATGGCCGAAGATTTTGAAAAGTGAGGAAGCATAATTAATAAGAGGCTACATAATTAGTGAATGATTAATGATAACTAATGACATATTTGAAAATTATCAAACTTAAGCAAAAATAGAAATTAAAGGTTTTGACAAGATAGTCCTCTTTTATATGTACTATATAGATTGGTCTCCTAATCTTTAACATCTTGAAATTAGCTCCTTAGTTTTGAAATCAGTCCCTCAAATCTAGAAACATATCAAGTGCGCTCGGGTTCATGATATTAAATGTGCACCCAAATGATGTTGTTGGATCATTAGATTTCAAGATTCATGTTCAGATTCAATGATTAACATCTTTTGGGGTGGGCCATTCCCAAATCTTAACGTGATTTGAAATTAGTCATCTAATTTTTTTAATGTTTTGAAATTAGTCCTCATAGCTAGCACCTGATCTAAAAGTTCTGGAAGAACTTTTCTATTGGAGAATATATTGACTGATTAGATTTGAATATACCAGTTTAGGTACTGCCTTAATGAGATTTATGAATGCAATTGCTTATGATACAAGGTAGGATGCTATATGGAGAGATTGTAGGATCATAATTGAAGTTCATTAAAAATAAGCCTATACATTTGTATGATAGAGTACTAAACTGTCATCAGAGAAATTTCAAAACATTTTGACGTTCTCAGTTGGTTCTTTAGGGTACTTTAGAAGTTAATCCTTAAATCTTCAATAATCCATATTAGTCTCTTAAATCTTAGAGATTGCTCAGAAGACCCTCAAATCCTAAAGGGTGCAAATTGGTCCCTCAATGACCGAAATGCCCCTTCGTGTTTACGAAAACAAAAGCTGAGAGGCATTTGATGGCCTTATGAGCGAGCAAATTGGTCCCTCAATAATCCAAATAGCCCCTTCGTGTTTACGAGAATATTAAGAGACCAATTTGCAAGATCCCTTAGGATTTGAGGGACTTGTGAGCAATTTCAAAGATTTGAGGGCTAAGATATATATGATTTTTGAAGATCCAAAGGACGGATTTTAAAATTCTAGTAAGGTGAGAAATATAGTTTTAGCCCCTAATGTTTCAGATTATAGTCCAAAGAACCCGTTAGCTATTTTCCAAATTAAGTTAAATGCTCTCTCTCTCTCTCTCTAATTACATCATTAATAATATGTTTTATAGAAGCAATCATTTCTTAATTACCTCAGATTAACTGTTTACCTCCAGACTTCATCAATACACATTATTGGCAGATGATGCGAACAGAATTCTATTTCCATTACATTAAGGAGTACACTAAAACATAAGAAGCCAAAAAAAGGGAAGCGAAAATAAATGAACATAAACTAAACACAATACAGATCAAAATATCAAGCATAAATTCAATAAACAGGTTTATAGTTATTCTTCAAAATTTACATTTCGGAATTGATTTAGAATCACAAGATGAATTATTGGAATTCCGAAAAATAAAATGTCCTCTCTCTGTACAAGGAATAGAAACTCTTTAATTCTTTTTACATGTTCATGCCGCGCTAACATTAAAATATAGCGGTTGTTCTAAAATTAAGGAGAAAAATCGTCTGTTTACGCTTCTGAATGTTTCTTTCTTTCAGAGGGATTTCAGACTCTTTCAGGTATCCTGATACCGAAATCTTCTTCAACCCAAGCATCCTCTCTTGAACATCTGGAAGTCACTTCAGAGCCAATCTAAATAAGCTCCAAAACATTTTTTCAACAATCTGGGTAACAGAAAGCAATAGTTCTAATAAGGAAATATTAGAGGAATTCGACAATAGAAATTGCTGTGAATAAATCTAAAGTTTAATTGTAGAGACGCCTTGCATTGTAGCCCAATTGCGGATAGTCCCCCTATATTTCTATCGGTGCGAATACACCCCCTGAGTAAGCCTTTTTGACTTTTACGAGGGGGCAAAAAATCACTCTGGGGGTCTGCAATAGCACAAGGGTCTATCAACACCAATAGAACTATAGGGGATGTACCCGCAATTTGGTGATAGTTAGGGTGGTTTATCTGCAATTAACACATAAATTTGTTCTTGAAATCAAACCTGTAATTTAGTCCCCTTACTCAATTCTCTGAGCCTGCCTGACTTCCACGATCACTGGAATCTGAGTCATTTCCTCTCCTACTTGCGGCCCATAATTGGGATTCGATTCCCAACTTTTTTAACTCAAAAAGCCCTCGTTCAACTGTGACATGTAAGGAAGACCAAAGAAGATTGTTACACGTTGGAAATATTCTTTTTACCGACTTCAATAAATATTCAGTGCACAGTATAACTGAAGACCGTTGTTTGCATGTACTTTTTGCCGCATTGATAGTTTATTATAGTTTCGGTCGTACTCATCAAATCATGGCGTTTATGAGAGGTTAATACATCAACTTGTAAGTTTCTGTATTTTGCTTTTCAATGAATATCAAAGACTACAAAAAAGGGTAAAGAGATTTGAAATGTAGAAATCCTATATGCTATGTAGCTCACATCACTTTTATTATGAATCAGTGTTAATGTTGGGTGCTTCTATCAAACATGATGCTTGTTGCCAAATTTCATATTTTGATCAGACGCGAGAGTAAGATGACAATAAATCAATCAAAATGTTGGTGGGACAATCCAAGTGGAGATTGGAGATCCACCCCATTTATTGTGTTCTCCACATGTTGGAAGATATAGACAATAAATCATATGAATTGCAGAACTTTATCCATATATTGCATTTGAGGCACTATCAATTCGAACAACTTGATGTATGAGTAAAAGGTCTTCAAATCACTTGAATTTCCATCAACATTACACTTCAGTCTTCAGGGAGGAGTGATCATGCTTAGGATGAATCATCCATTCAGATGGCTTTTGAGGAACTGATGTAGGGTTCCCACACCTATTGCTCATGCACCTAGTCTATCTCACACAAAAATTTCCCCCTTTTAAACACTTGCTCTCAAGCTGGAGAATACATGTATAAATTTTCAGAAAATATATCTTACCTATCACTTACTACATCAACAAACTACAGTGATGCTCTCTCAGGAACCAATAAACATAAATTCAGATATCAAGTCACAATTACTAGGAACATAACCAAATGGATTGACCTACTGATAACCTCTAGTTTCTTGCTGAATATTTCAAATCAGATTACCTAATATTATTGTTACAGCATTCAAACAACATACTGAAAAGGCATGGAAAACTAAAACTGTAATCCATGAAACAGGTAAATAAAGGTTTCTTAACTGTGATTATTTGTTGAGATTGTTCAATATAAATCAATCAATTGGAAGACCATTAATATAAAGGGTTATTGATGATAGACCGCTGTACAATAGTCCAATTGCAGATTAACCACCGGTAGTTCAACTGTGAGATAAGACCCCCTGAGTAATTAAAAAAAAGAACTCTTTTACCCTTAGAGAAAGAGAACTGAATTTCGACAATAGACCTCCTGAGGGTACAAGAGTCAAAATATATTTACTCAGGTCGTCTGTGTGCAACAATAGAAATATAGGAGGTCTGTCACTCTGTCTACAATTGGGTGAAGTACAAGGGGGCTATCAGCAAATAATCCTAATATAAACATACATACCTTCTACTGCGTCTTGTGAGGTAGGAGAATGCATGGTCTGCTCAATCCAAAACTGCAGACGGTCATCTGCAATGTCCTCCTCCAAGCCATGATTCTTGGCTCTCCTCCAGAAGTATGTCAACCAAGCCTGCATAAACATCAGCTTGGCAGTAAGTCATAAGAGTTTGTCACTTCCATGCAGAACCTTGCAATCCATAACCAATCTACTTTGGGTTAATTGCAGATAGACTCCCAGTAGTTATATTGTCACAGATAGACCCCTAGGTGAAATTTTTTGATTCTTTTTTGCATCACAGATAGAGGAAGGTGTTGACAAATGTGTCCTGAGGGTAAAAGGGTTAAAAAAAATTCAATCAGGGGGGTCTATCTGCAATTAGGCGACAGTACAGGGGGTTCATATGCAATGACGGAACTACAGTAGGTCTATCAGGAATTGGGCAAAATGTTACAGGGGATCTATCTGCAATTAACCCATCTATTTTGAACAGGTAAAGCCTTAAAGGATAAGTACAAGCAGTAACCAGCATAATCAAGACTTTTAAGTACCGAAGGTAATAAGTTCAATAATAAGCAGAATACCTAAATAACATTTTACTCAACCATATCTTGACATCAAATATTAGGTTATGAAAAGAATATCAAAATAGTCATAATATAATAACACAGTTTAATTAAGAAAAATCATGTGAAGGCGGTTGTTTCCAAGATGTGATTTGACATCCTTAACATTCGCAGAGTAGATGGATAGAGTTGCATTTTTTTTAGCTAATTCATGTATACTCCTCAAAGATACAAAATTGCATGCACACAGTTCAAATAATACTAATTGCATCCATACTCATGCCCATGTCGTACATCCAATTCCTCATCACCAAACTGCATATATACCAATGTCATACATCATTAGTTAAGTATGGATGAATAACAGTTAGTTACTACTAAAAATTATGCTATGTTAGAACTATGATAAGTGGCGTTGTATACAGTGAGAAACAGTCAATTGATTTGGAGAGACAACTTACATCAGTGACAATACAAAGACAAACACAATTATTTAGGTAGACTAAATACAAAAATGATGATTATGTTTGGAGGATGCAAAATGATTATGCAATTTAAGATGAGTTTGATAACAAATACAATAAAGGCGAGCCAAAAAACGTAATAGAAAAGATGGTAATTGATCTATACATCAATTCCAGGACAATTAAGCAATTAGTCTATGTTTAATTAAACATAAGATAGAGATAACAAGATACAATCAATGAAAGAACATGGTTGCTGACAACAGGGTCATAGAAACAAATTTTTACTCTACTAATTTTTTGAACACTATATATGCATAAAACCCTTTTTTATTGTAGCATCCCTGTCATCTTGTTGTACTATAGGTTTAAAATTTTCTACATTGTGGAATTGTTATTCAACTTATGTAATATATGATGCCAATTTACAGTTGAAATATCAAATTTTTTTCTAATCTTGAAGTAAAATAAATCGATACTACGAAATTCAAGCAATTGCTAGGAAAAGAAAAGGTATCATACCTGCTTGAAGTGCACATCTTCCAATTCCTCTTCAGACAATTCTGTAAGTGAATTTTATTACAAGTTTATCATCTGGGAGGAGTAGAGTTAAACATATTATAAAAAAGAACAGGATTACCAGTAGTATTATCTGAAAAGTAATCATTGCAGTTTCTATGATCTAGAAAGTTTAAGAGAACTAACCAAATTGTTCTAAAGTATTTGGACCTTCAGCTGAAAGTGTTGCACCTACAAAAATTAGAGGAAACAGGGTTCAACATTCTTTTAACTATACATTACTGTCACAATTAATGCTTAAAATTAATTAAAAAATCATGATAGAAGGAAATTAGTAAACACTTAATATTTGACTGAAAGCTGTATTGCCACTGTCAGAGAAAAAAAAGCAGGATCAGGTATATTTTTATTGATAATAGATATAGAGAAACAAAAAAAATTTCACAGTTATTCATACATGTCAAACATATCACAATCGATAGGCAAGAGATGGAATTGTCATTTCTTATAATTAAGGTAACATCCTATTTGAGCTGACTTCATCTATAATGCTTGATCCTTGGTTTGAAGATTGTGTTAGCTAGGATGTTTTTAACGCATTGGCCCATAGTTAACTACTTAAGTATGAGTTGTACAAATGGAAGCAATGGAAGTGTATGCTTGCAGTGTTCTTGAGAAGAATGACTTACAAAGCAGATAATGAGGAAGAGTTGGTTAACACAGCTAGTCTATCCTCAACAGAAAAAAGAAAAATGGTTACACTAATTTTTTCTTCGTTCTTGATTTCTAAGAAGATAATCTTATGGAGATTTAGGTAGAATTGGAAAATAGGGTTCATAGAGTTAATTATTCTCTGCTTAGAATTTAAAGCGGACAAAAACGATGTGGGAGACAATGAAGAGAAGAAAAGAATAACTTATTCAAAATGTTGCACCTTATTAAGAGACATACCATCAGTAGGAATTCTAACATCTTTGAGTAGGTTTATGTAAAAATAAAAAACAAAAAAGATCGTCCGGATCATCCGATGTATCATGTCTGGCAGCCAGATCATCCTCTGTACAGTAATCCTAAACAATAATTGGTAATAAGCTTCTCATCTTTGTCTTCCTATGTAACATCTTAATAAATTGCTTGTAATTCTATGATATGTAGAATTCCTGATTAGTCTCTATCCAAATATTCCAAATCTTCTGCTTCTCTACATAACACCTTAACATTTTGTAAATTATGGAAAAAATTAAGTGAAATACACAAAAGAAGACCACATAGAAAGAAGACTACAGAAAGACAAGGTTCCTTCAAAAGATCTCTATGCACTACTTGCTTGACTGAAGTCTTGTCGAGTAGCAAGAGCATTAGGGTAATTAATAAGGCAGAAAAGGAAGTCATCCATTAGCTAGTAAATGTCCCTTTTGCAGCGCACTGCAATCCAATCCAATCAGCTAAAGTTCGAAGGAAAAGAAGATTTTTTTATTGAGTTTGAATTGAACCATGAAGATGAAAAAGCAACCAGATTTAGAGAAATTAGTTAAGAGTAATAAACAGGAAATGCAAACATAGAGGTATTGCCAAAGGAAGATAGAGTCCTAAATGACCTTATTCTTTTTTAAGTTTCTTAAGTTACTTTGCGTATCTTAGTAATGTTCCATGTTGGGAAAAAATAACAGATGAAATCTTTTTGGTATCTTCCTATTTGCGCATTTTCTAGTAGCATTTTTGGAGCAATCACATGAAGATGCCAAAAACAGTGCATGATTGAATGTATCCTGGTTCCGATATTATGCAAGCCAGAGAATATGAAGCACACTTTAAAAGGGCAAGCAACAAAAAAACATAAGTTTGTAATAACAACAGAAATGATAATCACTGGGCTGTTTTATAACAATATCAACGAAAAATGTAAAAAAGCGAGGAAAATTAACAAGAGCAAAGTGAAAACAAGACATGATACACATCCTATGTACAAACAACCAATAGTCACCACGAAGGTGGTTCTCAACTAGTGTAGATGGGGAAGACATGATACTGATAACAACATGTACACCAGGGAGCCAGGAGGTAAACTATTTTTCGAGGATAAACACCTGAGGTAGATTGACCAGCCTTAACATTTGCACGTCGATCTTGACCCATGGCAAGCAGGACAGCTTCCTCTACCTTCAAAACGTTTAAAGCACTGAGAAATCCTCAGAAAAGATTTACATTACACTGTTCACCAACTATCACTCATATGCTTATATAAGTGAATGTCATGTGGGCTATCCTTTGGTGGTCCAGCATGCTCTTGAAGAGGTTGGAAAGGTTGACAGTTTTACAAGGGATGATGTTAATCTTCGCTTAATTAGTACCCAATTTCTGATCAAATAAACTATGGACAAGAGAGGAGTTTCCGGTGATCAAAGAGATCATTAGTTTGGTATCCTTCAAGTTTTTCTCTACCAAGGAAAAATTCTAGAATAAGGACATTTCAATACTTGTCTGAAACACGCATGTAACTAAGAGCCAAATAGAACACATTCCTAATCACTTGAAGGTAAAATCAAAACTTTAACTTGCTTCTGTTACTAATCCAGGCTGAACTAGGGTTTTATTAAGGGTTAACTGCAGATAGACCCCCTGTAGTATTGTCCAATTGCAGATAGACACCCTGTAGTTCTAATTGTGCAGCTAGACCTAGACCCCCTGAGTGAGCTTTTTTCTCTCTTAAAAAAGTCAAAAAATTTGTAGAGGCGAATAGACGCCCTGCAGTTCTACTGGCGTGGTAGATCCCAATGCTATTTTTCTGACTCTTAAAAGAGTCAAAAGAGTTCAGATAGGGTCTATCCTCACTTGGGCAGATAGTACAGGGATCTCTCCTCACAATTAGAACTACAGGGGGTCTTAACTAGGCAATACTACTGGGGGACTATCCGAAATTAACCCTTTTTGTTAATATAGATGAATACTCAGGCTATGATACAGCTTGCTGAGTTTCTTCAGTAAGTGAAAGGAATGTGTTCAAGTACAAGAAGATAGTTAAAAAAAAAGACAAACACTTAAAAAAACAATGACAAGCCCTTAATGGAAGTTACTGAGGATTGCCGAGGTTATTTCACGAGAAGGAAAAAACCTTAATTCCTCCAGGGGTATTTAGAAATCCCAAATGCAAATGAAATTGAGAGGTCGCACCGAAGCACAATAACATACTTGTTATTGTCAATAGAGAAGATCACAAACAAAAATAAATCAGAAACCTTTAATGAAGCAAGCTCACGCAGGCCCTTCTCAACTAAAAGCATGTTCTCGATATTTCCCTCTCCAGCCAGATCGCTTATGTCGAATGACACTTTTTCATCATCTTCATCAGCTTTATCTGTCAAGGATAAATCAATGCATCATGACCCAGAAGCTTAATTTCAAGTGTAATAACTCATGTTCGATATTTACTTTCAATAACCAGATATAAAGAAGCAACATATGAAAAATTAATAATAATAATAAGAGAGAGATGACCTGATGAGTGCCCATCTCTTGCCTTCTCGCCAGCAGACAAGACAACTTCCATTGGTTGGGGAGCCAATGATGACCAATATTCCTGCTTTCTTTCGGCAACATCTGCATAAATTCCTGTCATACAGGTGAAGCTTAAGTTCTTTTCCGTATGAGAAATCAGATAAGCAGAACAAATTATAAAAAATAAAAAGCTTAATTAATGGAAAAAAAAGCTGTTCAGTTTATTTAAAGGAACAAAGTACATGCAAATTTGTATAAACTACCAAATGTCAAATCATGAGCTGGAGAATGAAATGTTATCAGAAAGTAATTACAAAATACCAAGAAATGACTTCAATTGATGTTTAACAAAGCACTGGATGCTCAAATTTTGTACTTGGGGTGAAATAGAACAAAACGTGTTTTAGTTGGTCTGTTTCCATTTATCAACATCATTGCATTGAATCGATGGTCCAAGTTCTGGAAGTTCACTAGTACATACATTTATGACTTAAAGGAACAATTCTCGGAAAAAATGCTTTTACATTTCTGTATTATGGCATGGTTCGCCAGAGTTTGAAGTAGTATGTAGGTTATGTTTCATCAAGCTCTATCCTACTACCGTAAAAAAAAGATAAGTTCTTTAGAGTTTACCAGAATAGGACATCTCTTTCATCAAAGACATATATTGTGATCATTTCCTTGACACAATTACCCATTTAACTATTCAATTTTTCTGCATTCGATGTTTTCTACAACAATTAAAGAGAGCTTTTCCCAGAATACCTGAAAAGGTAACTTCTTTAAACGCCATGTCAGAACCTGAAAGTATTCGAGAGGAAAACTTGTCCAATAATTTTTTTTCATTATTTCAGTGCTTGCTAAAGCCCACATGTCAAGTAATTAGATAATCCAGAAAAATAATTGGCCACAGGAATATTGTGTGAAATATTAAGTAACTCAAAGATAACATCAGGATTATATTGGAAAGATGGTATTTAAGATCATGCTACCATGGTGAGCACATAATTTCCAATATCGAGCAAGCCAACACCTCTTGAGAACCACCTCCTCCTAAGGTATATACATCAAGAAGAAATTAGACCACTATAAGAAAGATATGTCATGTAATGGTATAAGGCTATAAGCAATAGACACATACCTTTTGTTCTTGATTCAACATCATTTTCTGTACCATTGTTCTAAGAAATTTAATTTCAGATTCTGATTCTTGAAGTGTTCCAACAGACGCTGCATCATCCCTCACAACCTATCATGAAAAGCCAAGCGTTACCATAATCTAAATGGTACTGAAAGGCTTGGAATTTACATGTGCCAAACATTTTTTTATGGAAAATATATACCTTCGATTCCCACTTAAGGGGTCCTGGCTCCTCTCTTTTTGCAAAGCTATTTCGTGCAAAAGCTCTCGGAGCAGGCTTCAATAGAATTATGTCAGTCAAATTTCTTCATTAAGAAATAAAATCATTTTCCACAGTTCAGTTTTAAAAACTACTACTTGAACAACAATTTAGTATACGGTCATCAATAGCACAATGAGAAGGGGCAAATTATTTCCCATTAGGTTGAAGAATTAATATTGAAAAAAAAAATTGTGGGTTTACAGCCCATGAAAATTGCCATTTTTAAAGAAAGAAAACTTATTTTCCATTCGGTCGAACGGACAAAAAATAGACAAAAATCATGGGGCGTAGCCCATGAAATTTGCAATTTCTGAAGAAAGAAAATCTATTTTCCATTGGATCAAAACGAATAAAAATTGACAAAAATCAAGGGTTATAACCAATGAAAATCGCAAATATAAAAATATCACACAATTAATTGACAAATGATACAAACGAAAAAAAATGGACAAAAATCATGAACTATATCCGTGAAAATCATGAATACTGAAATTCTCAGTTAGTTCACTAGCGATTGAAATGAAAAAAATGGATAAATATCATGGGCTATATAGCCCACGAAAATCACAAATTTTGACGTATGCGTACGTAGTTTACATTAGGTCTTATGCCAACGAAAATTGCGATTTTAGAACAATGAAAATTTATTTTAAATTGGGTCAAAACGAACAAAAATTGACAAAGATTGTCAATTATAGTAGATGAAATTTGCGAATATTAAAATTCGTACAATTAATTGATTAGCGGTTGAAGTGAAAAAGGACAAAAATCATGGACTACAGGTCGAAGAATGAAAATTGATAAAAATCTTGGGATATAGCCCATAAAACTCATGAATCCTAAAGAAAGAAAATTTATTTTATATTGGGTCGAAAAGAACAAAAATAGATAAAACCATAGGTTGTAGCCCAAGAAAATCACAAATTTTGAAGTACGCACATGCATTTCCCATTATGTCAAAGAACGGAAATTAGTGAAAATTTGTGCGTTATAGCCCATGAAAAGTGAAAATTTGTGCGTTATGGCCCATGAAAGTCACAATTTTTAAAGACAGATAATTTATTTTCTATTGGGTCGAAATGAACAAAAATTGATTAAAATCGTGGGTTATATAGAGCCTACAAAAATCATAAATATTATAATTCACACTGTTGAGAAAATTAATTAGAATTTAGTCCCATATAGGTTATGTAATAATTATGTAAAGACTCCCCTATTATAAATATAATTGAATAGAGGCAAGAATATTATCTCTTCTCTTTCTATGATTATTAACTCCTACATGGTATGAGAGGCACTCATGAAAAATAATCTCTAACCTTTGCCCTTAGCCTCCTCCACTAAAAACCCTAGTCCTCAGAAAAACTAACTGCTACCCTCACACACCACAGCTACCACCACTTTCTATCATCACTGTCGATCATGTCTACCTCCGCTGTTGCCCTCGACCTTGCATCACGCTCATTTCCGACAATCCCCCAACTCCGACCCTATCATCTCCTCCTTGCACCCGCCACCTCGATCCAGCGCCCACGACCACCACTGACTCCACCCCAGGACAACAACAACATACGACTCCTCTTGAGATGACGACCGTTGTAGCCAACTCCAGCAACACTGACGATAACTGATCTCGTCGACGATGAATCCCCCGATGACGACCGGAGATCCCTAGAATTGAATCAGAGCTAGCATCGTTAGCCCATACTCTAACCCTAACCAGATCCAACAAATAAAAAGATCTGGTGTTTTTGTTTTGATTCTTAGGTTATTTATGTTGGTTTGTTGAGGGTGCTTATACACCTTGGTTGAGTAGTAGGATGTTTAATTTCTTTGAGGATTGTTTAGATTAGTTGTTGCGTGATGACCCATTCTAGCAAAATGAAGGCTGAGACATAGACAAAGGTGAAGTTTTATGAGGTGATTATCGGGAATATCACAGATTGGAAGTCAAATGTCAACAACTATCTGCAATGTAAGCAGAGGATAGAAATTTATTTATATAGTCGGGAAAAAATGAAACACTTATCAGACGACCCACGCGGTGACTGATGCATGAACATAGGAGGACACTACCTTACTACATCAGATTTTGAATGCTATGGGGAACAAGACTTATGACTTAGTACTGCATTGTAAGACTGTGAAAGAACTTTGGCTAGTTTTGGAGTTATATTGAGAGAGTAGCAACACCGATAGAGCTTATGATGTCATAAGAGTTGTTTCGATGAAAGCAGAGTGGTTAGCCTTTGGAGGATTATTATGGTGAATTCAACCCCGTCTTAGAGGAGCTTCGATAGATATTTCAATTACGTCTAATGTGAAGAACATGCAAGAGCAGTGGAAGCAGTTGATGGTATTGACATTTTTGGGAGGTCTTGATTCAAAGCACACCATGTCTAGGTCTTAGATGTTTGATAGCTCAGTTGTTGGTTCTCTAGCATAGACTTATCTGTTTCTTCGGAAGGTGGCCTTACGTTCTTCACAGACTCCTCTAGTAGCATCATCAGATCATTCTCTAGTAGCATCATCTAATCATTCTACCCTAGCTACTTAGGGAAGGGAACGAGGGGACCACTTTATTAGAGGAGGTCGCAGGTCGCAGAGGCCATCACGGTGGGCGGACTAGTGCTCATGGTGGATGAGGGGATAACTCAGCCATATACTGTAAACTACGATAAGGAGCCAGGGCATATCAAATATTACTGCCACTCTTGTAGGGCAAATAGGGAAACAGTGCCCATGTAGCTGCATCTTACTTGATTAATCACATGCATTCTTCAATTTTAGACAACAAAATTCCATACTCAATTTGACACCCTCATAATGACATGTTTTCTTACTTAAATTTTTTTGTTTTGCTCACAATCATAGCCCTCAGAAAACAAAGCTAGATTCGTAGTCCTTCAAAGTTCTTTTGTGGTTATTCTCGCGCTCAAAAGGGTTATAGGTGTTATTGTCCATCTCCAGGTCACTATATTTTATCAGCAAATGTCACTTTCTTCAAATCTCAGTCTGGACATACATCTCCTCCTACTTCTGGGGATGATTATGATTACTTGATTATTCGTGAGATACAAATCATCAGTGGTCAGTCTGATTCTGATGCAGTAGCTAACTTAAAACCATTGCGTTTGAGAAGCCTTTTCAACTTTACACACGTCGGCATGGTCCTACTTTTGTACTAGTGTCAAACTCAGTACCAAGCCCCAACCTAGTGAGCTTGTTATTGATCAGTTACCTAGTACCATTACTACTAATGATCTTCCTATCGCTCTTCGTAAGGTAAGAGATTTTGCACTTAACATCTGATTTTTAATTTTATCTCTTACTCTCACTTATCATCTTCATAACAGTTTTTTGCATCTTCTTTGGATTCTCACTCTCTTCCTAAATCTGTGTCAGAAGCCCTATCTATTCTGGGTTACACTGAGGTGATGAAAGATGAGATAACCCTCGAGTAGAATGATACTTTGGATCTGGTTACTCTTCCTCTAGGAAAGAAAGTTGTTGGTTGCAAATGAGTTTACACTGTCAAATTAAACCTGATGGGTCTCTTGCTCGCTTGAAGGTGAGATTGGTTGCACTAAGGTATACTCAGGTGTATGGGCTTGCTTATCTTGACCTCTCTTTTTGCAAAGATGACTTCTGTACAAGGTTTTAAATATCGGTTATCGGGGATTTATCGGACGACCAAAATCCTTATCGGATAGCGGAAATCGGGGATATATCGGGGATAAGTAGTATTTATCGGAGTGATATACTGGATGATGTGTATATATAATATAACAATTAAAAAATATAATCTAATCATGCTTAATAAAATATAAACATACCAAAATGTAAATCATCATGTTTAGAATCATTAACCAATTGTAGAAAGCGAAACTTGCATCATAGCCTTGAAAAAAATATAATGTTAGTCAAAATGAGCCGATAATCCCGATAAAAAGGTCTTACTTATCGGCCGATAAGTGCCGATAACGCCGATAAATCGCCGATAAACCTAGAAAAACGATAACTGATTAAAAATCCAATTTATCCTAGCGGAGAGCTCCCAAATCCGATAACTCGGCCGATAATATCGATTATCGGCCGATATTTAAAACAATGCTTCTGTATGAATGCTTATCTCATTAGCTGCGACATTCCATCGGCCTCTTAGTCGGTTGGATATCAAGAATTCTTTTCTCAATAGTGTCCTTGAAGACGATATTTATATGGAGCAACCACCATGCTTTGTTGCTCAGTGCGGGTATGGGAAGGTGTGTGAGCTGAAAAAGTCAATTTATGGCTTGTAACAATATTCGATAGCATGGTTTTGGCGTTTTACATTAGCTATTCGGGAATTTGGTTTTTATCAAGCACGTAAAGACCACTCAGTATTTTGGCAAATTCACACAGGAAGATGATTCTCCTCAATGTACATGTGGATGATATTGTGATAACATGAGATGATACACAAGGAATTGAAAGCATAAAGAAGCATCTACAATAGCATTTCTCGACAAATAATTTATGTTTATTGAAGTACTTCTTGGGTATTGAAGTTGCCAGATCTAAAAAGGGCGTTCTCCTATCACAAAGGAAATATGTCCTTGACATGCTTTCAGAGGCAGATATGTTGAATGTATAATTGTTTAACACTCCGATGGATGTGAAGGATAAGCTACTACCGGATTAGGGGGAGCTTTTGGAGGATGCTGGGTTATATAAGAGATTGGTAGAAAAGTTAAACTACCTAACAAAAACTCACATTTGCTATTGGTGTAGTTAGCCAGTTTCTTTCAACACTGAGAACAACCCCTTTACATGCTGTGAAGAGAATTCTCTGATATCTATAGAAAGCTCTAGGAAAGGGAATTCTCTATTCAAATTGTAGGCACATAAGAGTTGCGGGTTTCTCAAATGCAGATTGGGCAGAATCACCGTCTGATAGGTGTTCAACTACTGGTTACTGTGTCTTTTTTAGTGGAAATTGTTTCATGGAAAAACAAGAAACAAAGTGTGGTTTC